AAAAACACATTAAATACCACGCAAACATGCCACGGATAAAAAATAAGTATGCTGTGAGCATTTCACAAAATACCGAAGTTGTGTTTTACATTAATTCAAAGTATTTTCATACAAAGTAAAAATAATTGTAAATATCTCGCAGGGTCATAAGTCATGAGTTTTATAAGTTATTGATTAATTATTACAATTAATTCGCAGTTTTAGGAGCTGTAAAAGATGACTTACTTGTAAAGCAGCTCTAGTTGCTGTCTCAAAGACCTCCCTAACACCTTCCTTACTTTTGGCAGAACACTCAAGGTAGGCAAAAGCATTGATCTTTTCAGCCATGGCACGGCCCTCTTCAGGTTTAACGGGCTCTTGTTTCATTTTGCTGAGCTCTTTTATCGTACTTGGATCGTTACGCAAATCCTTTTTGTTACCAACCAAGATGATTGGTACGTTTGGGCAAAAATGTTTGACTTCTGGTGTCCACTTTTCCGGAATGTTCTCAAGGGAATCGGGACTGTCAATGGAGAAGCACATGAGGATAACATCTGTGTCAGGGTAGGAGAGCGGACGAAGTCTGTCATAGTCCTCTTGACCTGCAGTATCCCACAAGGCGAGCTCTACCTATTTACGCAAGAAAAATCCAACAAGACATTATTAATATATACGTAACTCATTAAAATTGAGCTAAGCTGATAATGGAGATATAAATTCAAATAAAGCTGATATTTGATTTAAAACATCACGTCTTAGTTTTTTCTACAGCTCTCTTCAAGTGAATTAAATTAACTGACAGTGTCAACAATGGCTCATGCAAATAATTTTACTTATCTGAAGAGGGCTACAGTTTTTGTATTTATATAGCCAATATGTCGTGTCAGTTTACTTATCATATATTTGTTGTATGTTATTATTCTTCTAGCCAAATGTTTAATTGTTTAAGATTAAGCAATAACTTGCCTGTTTTCCATCAACTTCGATGTCAGCCACATAGTTTTCGAAAACGGTGGGTACATACACCTCTGGAAACTGATCCTTGCTGAACACAATTAACAAGCATGTTTTACCACATGCACCATCCCCAACAATGACTAATTTCTTTCTAATAGCTGCCATGAATTCTAAAAAAGATACAAATTGATCAACATACATAAAATGTATCTTTAAATGAAGTGATAATAACTACATTTACTCTGATAATTTTTAGCCTACAATGTTTAAAATAAAAAAGTTAATGTATACTAGGCTGCTATGAGTGATTCATTATTTGTACGTTTTAATTAATTTTTATTCTCTACAATCTAGACTTTCATAACCATACTTTTTAGTATAGGCAGTATGAATTTGATAGTATAGATGTGCCTCAGCACTAGTAGGCCTTAAATAATAAGCTCTTATGGACAATATTTCTATTTTTGGGATTTAAATTACAAGGAAATAAATTATTAAGACATAAAATTAAAATTCAGTTAACTCGATATACAAATTCAAAGCTTTGTAAGTTAACAAGAAATAATACAGTAAATTACTTAATGATTTCTATAAATGATTTTAAAATTAACATTGCTCAATGGGTATTGGGCTCGATGGTCAAAAGTTTGCTGCCAACCGCAACCTTCAGAGCGCTTCTTTATCAGCACCACCAACAGCCAAGCTGTGAACTATCGCTGTGAACTGTATATAGATATATACGAATGTGTACATCAGTGATAGTTCACAGCTGGGCCGGTGGTGGCGCTAGTGTGCCCAGGTAAGATTTACATTGGAGTATACCTATATATTGAATGAAGCCCATTCGAAAATAAAAATCATTAACCAATAAATAACCTTATGCTTGTGCTAATATTAGATAGTTTTTAAGAAATTCTAAAGATGTATCAACTGTTATTATGTGTATCATCTGATAAGAATCAGACGTCAGACATTTTCAGGGAAAAAGGGCATAAAGGGTAATTAAAGTATAGTGGTGATTCTTCACTCCTGATAATCATGTGTTAATCAAACGTGTCAAATGGTGTCAGTAAGTCAGTATACAACATTGACTCACGTGTTGGTGCTTTAATTCTGTTCAACTATGATAATTGTTATTCCTATCTGTAACAATGATAAGATGAAGGATTAAAAGAGATCGTTTGATATCGTAAGATTTGTGCATGTAGCCAAAAAAAATTAATGGTCTCTCTCTATTCAAGAGACTGATGCAATTCTAAAGGTATGTAAAAAATGGAAACAGTCAAAGAGCTTTTCCAATAGAAAAGTCATTGAGTGACATTATTCATTGAATTGTTGGGGGATTTTTTAATGCACTGATTAGTTTATGTTTATCTATGGTTAAAATTTGATTTAAAAAAAAAAAAAAAAAAAAAGATGTTTTTAATTTCACAAAATATTTACATCTTTGGGAAGGCTGAAAGAAAAATGTTTTACTTTTTAAGGATTACAATAATAAACCACAGTACTTAAAAATTTGTACATGTTTTGGTGTTGCTATAAAAATAAAAAGTTTATCTATACACCAACTCATTTTACATAGTATTCTCAGTTTTTTAGCACATCCCAGATAGTGATGTTGAAGTTTGATTTAAAATTAATTTAAAAAAAACTATTGTTAAAGATAAATTAGATGTATAGTATAAAATTTTTAATATACTTGCATATTACAAAAAAATAAAAAAGCATTTTAAGTCAACTACTTACTATTATAAAACTAACTGAAATATTATTTTCTGATTGCAAATTCTAGATTCTATGATTGCACAATATTTATACAAGTATATTAAAAAAAAAACTTCGAGAATCATTTGAGAGCTGTAACGATAAAAAAAAAAAAAAAATGAACAATAGGAAGCTACAGATTGTGTAAATGGCATTTGTAAAGCAATTGAGTGCAGAGTTGAGTGTTCTGGACCATACCTGAACCAGGATATTCCGAATCACCTGATTTGGGTCTACTTATAACACATCCCATCTTTCGAATACTCTTTCTCAGTCTGTCTCCTACCTTTTCACTCACAGCTTCATCTTTAGGTAATTTATGCATTACATACTATGGTTATTAGACATCTTGTACCATACAGCCTTTTTGTCAATGTAAAAAAAATTAGTGTGTCAATTTATACACTTTTCATAAGTACCAAGATCTATAAGCTAATTTTGTATTATTTTAACTTAGAATTGCTTCAAGGACGATTCTCTCTCTCTCTCTCTCAGAGTAATTCGAGAACTACTCCCTATATTGCCTCACCAAACAAAGAACTGCAATCGACTAGGTGGACAGTTGATAAGCCGTTGTTCCAAGTAAAAGGATGCAATCAAATTGATAATCTAAAGAAACAAGATCTTTATACTAAATATCTCTTGAAATTCCAGAGAATCAAGTTAAGTAAAAAAAGGAAAGGAGGAGAGGGCAGTTAAAAGCCAAAACAAATAGATGAAGTTCCAAAAACCCACAAGGATGCATGACTAAAAGAGGTTACTTGGTCCTGAAGGATCTAAGGGAGAAATAATTGAACAAAGGCGCTTATTTCTGGAAGAGAGAAAGAGAGACAAGTAGAGAATTGTCTCATGTTTGTGGAGCACTCACTCATTCGATCAATTGATGACTCACTGACTCATATGCTGCTTGTGTTACACATATAATTAGAATATAGTGAAAAGTAATATGTAGTGAAATTACATATCTATTCTGAATATTGTCCGTTTTTAAAGCATGGGAAGAAAAGCAGCAACGTGAAGCTCCACTACAACCATAGTACATGCTAAACACCTACATGAACTTATACACTGTATGGTCATTGTGCATGTACATTTGCGTCCATGTCTATTTAAGTTGTATGTATACTGTATCTAGGATAAACTAGACTTGAATATAAATATGCATACATCAATAATCAGAAGGGTAGAGTACACTTAATGCAGAAGCATTGAAGAAAGGAATTTCGTATAAGTCTGTGTATTTAGAAGGTATGGTGGACATTTTGATACTTAAAAATTGTAAATAAAAAAAAATAAAATGCAGATGAACCTGATGATTATGAAGACATGACTGCAGAATCTTTCTCTCTTTCCTAAAGTTGAATACCACACAGGTGTATAGGGGCAATAAGTTATGCATACCTACATATAAATGAATCTTTTGATTAACAGTCAAAGCTGGGCTGTTTGATACATAATTATACCCCCCATATACATGAACAATATATAACAGACAAGTTATACATGAGCCTATACACATTTCAGAGCTGATGTGTCAGGACGTCAATGACGTTAAACTACCTAGGTACGAATCAACTAAGAACTCCTGGACATAAGAATTTAACATACGTGTTATGCTATTCAAAATCACAGATCGATACTATGTTTAACCATTCATTCATCTTCAAAATCAACACTTTTTTAAAGAATAGATCTAATACCCTACCTCTGTCTCTACCGGAAATGTCAGGGTCTGATACCTGAGACTTCTGACTTTTTAACTGATATCAACTCTTGCCTTCACTGCTGATGTCTACTTTCTGTTCTTTTTTTGAATAGATTGCAGATCAAAGGTAGATACACATTATCCACTTAACATTAGACAACACAGTACATATCCACACCTATATAGTAATTAGTAATTGACGACACCAGGAAAGGAGAATAGGGGACGCAAACACATTGAGAGTAGTCAGTTTTTTTAGAGGTAAAAAAAAAATTGTGGAACAGTATAATGCGGTTTCAGGGAGTGGAAGAGAGCAGCAATGAGAGAGAAAAAGAACTCCTCTCGTAGAAGACGTGAGGAAAAGAGAGAGAGAGAGAGAGAGAGAGAGAGAGAAAGCAGAAAACTTGTTTGACTATTGTAAATTTTTAACAACTGCTGAACGAACTGCGAGAGCAAGAGAGTCGGAGGCGTCAGAGCTATATATAAAAATAGTCATTGTGTATATATATATATATATATGTGAGTGTGTGTGTGAATGCAAATTTACAGTCACACTGAAAAAAGCGTCCTCTTCAAGGAAAAGATAAAAGCGTTAGTGAGTATTGAGAGTTTGGAAAGTTTTATTTTATAACTACCTGATGGATTCCTTATTGCCCTGTGTCCAAGCGAACCTCGGGTCCAAGTTTCTTAACTCTTTATGATGAAAGATCTAGAGAGGAAAGGGTGAAAATACAGAACTATGTTGCTCTATGCACACGTATATTATTGTTGTACTTAAACACACACAGAACTTTGATGTTGTCAATATTTACCTACGTCGTTATGTTATACACACGACAGTTGAAGAAAATGGCTGCCCAGTACCCACACTGCCCACTGCTAGCCTCACTGCTACTGTGCTACTACTTGCTGATGGGCTGCCACACCTCAGTGTCTTCAATGGCCTAATCCCGATGTGTTTAAATGCGTGTGTGTGTATATCATACATGTACATACAAGTTAGTGGATACAAGGCAAGATACAACAGGTTTGTTCAAGCCAATTCTCGGTGAGACTCGGAGAGACTCTGGGAGCCTCCGAGAATGAAATGAACAAGTGTTCTTCTCCGAGTATCTTCGAGAGGCTCTGATGACTGTCCCCGAGAATATATATGCACACGTTAGGTTAGATAAGTACAAAAAGTAAACAAAATGTCTCAGTGTTAAAGTGAATCTACATAGGATTTTAATTTATCTAACCTAACGTGTGCATATGCATTCTCGGGGACAGTCAGAGTCTCTTGGAGACACTCGGAGAAGAACACTTGTTCATTCCATTCTCGGAGGCACCCAGAGTCTCTCCGAGTCTCACCGAAAATTGGTTTAAACGAACCTAACATTAGTGGACAAGTAGCATACATATATAGCCGAGTGGCTTGATTTACAAACCGCGAAATTTAAATTTTTAAAACGTATCACGTTTAAATACAATGGGTATGTTTTTTTTTGTAGTCGGTAGTCGGTCAGTCCAATTTCTCAAGGAAGTATACCTATAATTACTATGTATACTCAAAACAGAGGAAAAAAGCGACACACTTTCTACCATAGGCGCTGGCAATCTCTCTTCTAATCTCTGGCCAGTGGTAGTTGACTGCAATACTAAAACAGCAGTGTGCCAGGCCGTTTTGGCTTGGCTCGTCTGCTATATGTTACACTGCCGTCACATACAGTCTGCTACACAGCTGAAAGTAAATTAAAACCTAACCTAAAACCCAAATACGCAATATTAATATCATATAGCTTTAGTTTATCTGTATATGTATAAATACGTCATAAGAATTAATATCGTTTTGATGCATATACAACTGGCCTGTGTTGTATACAAATCAAAATTAAGCCATAAACACTTTAACTTTTTGTATGTTTCTAATATATTATGTTGTTTGGTGTACATACTACAAAACTGAACTTAAAATAGTTATTTAATACATATATATTTTGTGCAGTTCTTTGAATGACAAATGAAACTTCCTGGAGCATGCACTTCCTGAATGGCTTGTTTACACTGCACTTTCGGCTGTGTAGCAGACTGTATGTGGCGGCAGTGTAACTATATAGCAGACGAGCCAAGCCAAAACGGCCTGGCACACTGCTGTTTTAGTATTGCAGCAACTACCACTGGCCGAACCGCTGAAACGGTGGTGGTGTGTTCAGCCAAAATCGTAGAGAATTTTTTTCAGTGTAAGGTTAAATGTGCGTTTTCGCACTTTCAGAAAGAAAAGAAAGTTTTAAACTGCAAAAGACTAATTGAGTTGGGAAAAAATAGCTAACTTATTTTCATCTCCTCAAAAACATGTTATTAAAAGGCTTTTACCTTAGGTATTACAATCGTTGAACGTGTAAAAAAAATAAAAATAGAATTGCACCCATGAGGCCTGTGTTATTTGTCCCTTAAGTGACTATATATACCACGAGAGTCACGTACGTGACCATCTGGAATCCCAATAGCTACAAACTCACAAATACTGTCTTTATGAAATTGTTCGTAATTCACTTGAAAAGCAGTCTAATGCTGGTTATTTGTTTCTCTTGTATTCGTACTCGTAGTACTTAATCATACTAAGTATATTAAGCTTAATTTTTTTTTCTCATAATTTGCGCTCTCTTACAATTTTTCCTTTTAGTCATTTAACTTTTGTTTAATATACTTATAGATTGAAACGAATGAACAAACATAAACAAACAAACGATCAATTAATGTAAGCGTGTGTGTATACATATACATGTGTATGTGTATGTAAGTGTCACGTGTCACGTCCCGATGGTCGAAGGTTATTTAGTACACCCATATACGTATTCCATAATCAGCGCCTGGCCACAGCCTTTCAATAACCTCATTACAATACTGGCCAGGGACTGGTGTTCAGCTACGTCTAGTGGTCATTTCTTATCGGGCGAAAGTGGGTGATTACTGGGCGAAAGTCAGGCTAAGCTGCGCCCAAGTTAGCGCCGTATTACATATCTACCTGCGGACCGGCGGCCAGGGGTGTGTTCCAGTAACGCTCTCCGACAACTTACCGACAGCTTAATTATGTCTTACGATATCTTGCGTCATGTTTAAGTTGTCGGTTAGTTGTCGGAGAGCGCTACTGGAACACACGGCAGGCTTGGTTGCTTGATTTGGATCATGCGTTTAAGCTGGGCTGCCTGCTTTCAATTTCTACTCGGGTTACGAACATTTTGGAGTCTTTTTGTTCTAGACCAAGAGCTGAGGCTGAAGGGTGGTCAAAATTTTAACCAGCCGCCACTCTCTCCAGAATTAAGGAACCTTATGTTTCGTTGATGTGGAGATCGGAAATATTTCGGTCATATTTCACTGTGGTAAAGAGTTATGTGGTAATTATGGTTGTACCACATAATCTTTTTTAGTAACCAGCCGCAACTTACTTCAATGAATAGAAAATAAAAAGTTGTTTACCAAACGTGCCATTTTTGGCAAGATTAGAATGCATCTTGTACCCGAAAATCGAACTTCAAAAAAATAGACCCCGTACCCGATCTTATCTATAACACTTATCTAAGATAATAGATGATTAGGTGTAGATAACATTATAGATAAGACTAAAATATCTGTAATTTTGGAGGTCGATTTTCGGATTCAAAATGCATTCTAATCTCGCCGCAAATGGCACTTTCACATTACAACTTTTTATTTTCTATCCACTGGTGTAAGTTGCCGCTGGTTAATAAAAAAGGTTATATGGCACAACTATAATTACCACACAACTCTTTACCATAGTGAAATATGACCCAAATGTTTCGGATCTCTGCGAATCATAAGGTTCTTCAATACTGATAAAAGTGGCGGCTGGCTAAAATTGTGACCACCCTTCGGCCTCAGCTCTTGGTCTATTCAATTCTTTTTTCAGTGCACCTAATTCGATCATGGACAAATCCAGAGCATTCCGTGCGTTCCGAGTTGCAGGGGCAAACAAAACTAAAGTGCTCTGAATAAGTTTCCCTGAGCTCGTCCGTGTTAGTCGAATGAATCTATTTTACATATAATTTAATGTTTCATTTATTTGTAAACCAAAACGTACGGTATTGTCAAAAAAGATTGTCGAGAACGCTTCGCATGTAGGACATTTGGGGATTTTCCGCCTTCAACTGAGCCATGTCTCTAAATAGGTATAGCATTGTTTCCTAATTGAAATTCAACTTTCTAACCTGTAAGGAATTACCTCTGTAAGATTACACTTACAATTATTTGTTTGTTATTCTCCAGTTTATTGCCACAACCGACGCAAGTCGTGTGGGACAGAGAGGACGAAGCTAGGGAGGCAAAACTTCGTCAGAGGCCAGTGTCTGCATTGGTCAAGGCAGTGGTGAGTGCACCACCTTATGGACAAAGGAAAGGATGGGTGCCTCGAAATGAAGATGATTTTGGTGATGGAGGTGCGTTCCCGGAAATTCACGTAGCGCAGTTTCCCCTAAACATGGGAGCAAAAGGCAAGGAGTCAACAAGCAATGCTCTGGCTGTGCAGCTTGACTCTCAGGGGAAAGTCAAATATGATCTCATTGCCAGGCAGGGCCACTCTAAGGATAAAATTGTTTATAGCAAATTGACAGACCTACTGCCATCTGAAATTTTGACCGAAGATGATCCAAGCTTGCAAAAGCCATCTGAAGAAGAGGCAGAAGATACAACAGAGAGAACCAAAAAAGCATTGGAGAAGATTATTGAATCTAAAATAGCTGCAGCCATGCCTGTCAGGAGGGCTGAAAAGCAAGCACCTGCACAATATATCAGGTACACACCCTCTCAGCAGGGTCAGTCTTTTAATTCTGGGGCCAAACAACGAGTTATAAGAATGGTAGAAGCACAAGTGGATCCTATGGAACCTCCTAAATTTAAAATCAATAAAAAGATTCCAAGGGGACCTCCATCACCACCTGCACCCGTAATGCACTCTCCAACCCGGAAAGTGACTGTTAAAGAACAAAGAGAGTGGAAAATTCCACCTTGCATTAGTAACTGGAAAAATGCAAAGGGTTACACTATCCCTTTGGATAAACGTTTGGCTGCAGATGGCAGGGGTCTCCAACAAGTCCATATCAATGAAAACTTTGCCAAATTGGCTGAAGCTCTTTATATTGCTGATAGGAAAGCAAGAGAGGCAGTTGAAATGAGAGCTCAATTAGAGAAAAAATTGGCACAAAAAGAAAAAGAGAAGAAGGAAGACCACTTAAGGCAGCTGGCTGAGAAAGCTCGTAACGAGAGGGCAGGGTTAAAAACTGCTGCCATGCTAGGTTTGTGTATATTTTTTTTATTAAGCCAAAAAAATCTTTTGATAAATATTAGAATGCATGTACAAATTTACGAAGTAAAAGAGTTTTTTTACATTTATTCATAAGTATCTCCTTTTCCATATCTCCAATTTTAGACAAAAACGAAGAGATTCGGGAAAGAGATCAACTGAGGCAAGAGCGTCACAAGGATCGTGCGCGTGATCGCAACCTGGCACGGGCTGCTCCCGATAAGAGGAATCGTCTTCAGCGTGAAAGGGAGCGTGACATAAGTGAACAAATTGCTTTGGGTATGCCTGCCAAGAATATTAGCACTAGTGGGGATCAAGCGTTTGATCAACGATTATTTAACACGAGCAAGGGTATGGATAGTGGATATGGCCATGACGATGAATATAATGTTTATGACAAACCATGGAGGGATACGAACTCCTTAGCTAATCACATCTACAGACCCAATAAAAACTTGGATCAAGACAATTATGGTGAAGATTTGGAAAAACTCAAAAATACAAATAGGTATATTTTTTTACGGTTTATTCTTCAATTATTCTGTTAATTCAAGCTCTGAAAGAACAACAAATAATCTGGATAACTCTAAAGATAAAACTGTTTTTTATGAACTTTACATTTTCTTAGATTTGTTCCTGATAAGGAATTTAGTGGTACTGACCGAACTGGGGCAGCCCGTTCAGGACCTGTCCAATTTGAAAAGGAAGAAGAAGATCCCTTTGGATTAGATCAATTCTTGAAACAGGCCAAAAGAGCCAGTAACACTGCATCAGCTACTAAACGAAAAGACGATCGTGACCCAAAGAAAGATGACAGAAGTGACAAACGACGAAAACACAATTAATTTTACCTCCATTGATTTTTTTTTTTTTTTTTTGTAGTTAAGGTGAGAAATTTAATCAACCAATAGAATTTATAACTAAATACTGCAATATAATTTATCAAGCGAGAATAGTGTTAAGATTTATTTCTTCAATATCTAAGGTCGTACTTTTGCCCAACAATTTTTTTTATTCATCAAATTTGTAAATATTATATGGTTTTGCTGACATTAACAAAAATTAATAACTGTATAGAATAGTTTTACAATAAGCCAACTTGTGTTATGTTTAACGACATTCTGCACATAGATTTGGATTATGTAATAAAACTTTTTTTCCAAAATATTATTTATCGCGTCAAATTTTTGAATTTCGTATAAGGTAAAGTACCCTGTATTCGGACAAAAGTGTTGTTCGGACCTATATCCGGACAGCAGCGATAATTACATAATTTTTTTACAATTTCTGAATGAAAAAATTTATTTGTAATCTACAGTATCGAATTGATTTAGGACAGTTACAACATACGTCGAATTAATTTGATAATTCATTAAAAGAAATGTTTTTTCTTGCAAATCGAGGTTTTTTGTGTTGGGCTGCTGTCCGGAAATTAGATACTACGGTTCAAACTGTACCCCATATTTGGACACACATAAACCAGCAATTCACTTGCTTACAAGTGCAAAGAAATGGTATACAATGTAGTAAAATACAATAATAATTTGTTTTTTGCATTTCTTTAACAAATTAAAGCCATTAAAGTAAAATATAACTGTATATAAAGATCTGCCATAACCTCATTTTCTCAATGTTCACGACTGTCCGGATTATGGTCCCTACGTCGTAACGGGACCTATATTCGGGCTATTTAGAAATGCATTTTCCGAAAATAGGGGTTTTGAGACTGAATCTTTATAATTATTTTAAACAATGATCACACGGTCACAAAGAACTTTTTTTTTTTAAGTGACAGAAAAATTACTTTATTATCTATATGTCAACCGTCTTTTTCGCAAAAACAGCTAATTTCTTTGTGAATTTAGAAATAGTGGATTACCTAAAATTATGTGCCCGAATAGAGGGTACTTTACCTTACCTTCATAATAATTTTCTTTTACTACAGAAATTCAAGATAAAAATTTTGGAAAGAAAATAGAGTAGAGCGTAGAGCCGCTTTCAAGACTCAAACATACATAACAATACCCATGTATACAACATAAATTTTTTTGTATGTGTGCGCTGTGTTCGTCGAGTTTCTGCTCTGGAGAGTCTGGAGTAAGAGATCTAAGGTTTTGACAAAAACTTACAGATACTGCAGAAAAAAAAATTTATTCATACACAAGAAACTTAGACTTTTCAATATCCGTCTTCAGAAACAGCTGATTTTTAGTGCAACATTGTTAAAAAAATTTGGATAGTAGCGAAAATCACCAAATTTGATATCGCGTGAGAACTGTAAATCATACTAAAAAGTGGTTCAGACAAAAAATGTAGCTCTTAAAAAGACTTACAAGAAAAAATAAATAAATAAAAACGGTTATTTCGTTCGTCCGCAAGAGTAAACGGGGCTTAAACCATTAGGTAATTGCTTCCAGCCCCACTGCAATGCTGATTTTTCGTTGCCTATCCATTGCTGTACTTGAAGATACACTCTAGACTCTAGACTCTGCTCTGAACTGATTCCCCAAACCATTTTGAAAAAAATAACATGCCGGTGCGCTTCGCAGTGCAAGTCAAATGTATGCAGCTGCAGAAAACATGGGCTGAAATGCACTTCACTGCGCTCCGGCTGTCATGGAGAATCGTGCACAAACGAGGACGTTATCACAGCTGTGGTAGAAGACGATTTTATGCATTTCGATGAAACTATTGAGGAAGTACTCGCTGCCACTAGAGCTGAAATAGATGGGTCAGAAGACCGATTGGAAATTGATGTATATACTGAGGAAGAAGAAGAAGAAGAAGAAGGAGAAGAACAAGAAATAGTAGATAACTAAGGATGTTTTAAACAAATTTTTTTTTTTAATCAATGACAGGGATGTATGTATGCATGTCCAAATATGCAGAATGTATCAAATGCAAATATATTGATGTATTTCTTTTTTACGCTACACCCAACATTTTACAACGATTATTTCAACAATAGAATATAACTGTATGTGCACAATATAATAATAACAATGTAT